GGCTGAAAAGGAGCAGGGGGAGGGAGAAGCCCTGACTCCTGTTGCCATCCCATGCCGGGCCCTCCAATAATCCCCAACTTGCATCTTTCAGGGGAGGAGGTTTTGGGAAAGAGGTACAATGGGGGCCTAAGTCTATCATCTGACTAGCAGTTGGTACTCTCAGGATGCAAGTGAGCCTTAAACCATGGAGAATAGTGATAGAGATGTAGCCGTGTTAGTCTGGTGTAGCTGAAACAAAATACAGGACTATAGTGCTACATAGCCCTGTATTTTGTTTAAACCATGGAGAAATCTTCACCAGATAATATAACTGATAATGTGTCAATATTTTGAGAGAGGGTGCATCCAGGTTGTCTTATGCTTGTTGAAATAGTATATTGATTATGATTAGATTGCACATGTTGCATTTGGAAAGTAGTAGCAAGCTGCCAGAGTTCATGTTACCAACTCCGTTATTATACACAGGGCTCGACAATCTATGTGGCGAGTAGATTACAACCCGGAAGAGCCGGGTTCAGGCAATCTGTGCATGCACAGATCACCGGACAGCGCGGCTGGTGAGCCCTGATCATAGTCAAGGAGAAAATGTGTTCTTTACTTGAATATGATGCATATAGTCAGAGCCACATGGTATAAGTACTTTCATATCAAAACACTGGTATAAGTACTTTCATATCACACTAAAGCATTTGTCTGCCTACCCAAGACAAACCTTCCTATTTTTTTTTTTTTTTTTTTTTTTTTTTTTTTTCCCCCCCCCTTCTCCCTTCTCTCCTCCTCCCTCCTCCCCCCTCCTTGCTGTTCTTTGCACTTGCAGCTTAACATTAAACCTAGGACAATGGTCTCCAACCTTTTTAACCACAAGATCATTTTTTCAATTTAAGTGCAATGTAAGGTCTACCTCAAACCCAAATTCCCTTAACCCACTTCCTTCCCACCACTTCTTTGAGGCCTTGTCCCTGCTCCACCTCTTCTCCAAGGCTTCACCCTGCTCACACCATCTCTCTTCTTCCCCTACCTCACTCACTTTCACCAGGCAGAGGTAGGGGGTTGGGATGCAGGCTCTGGTATTGGGCCAAGGAGATTGGAGCATGGGAGGGGCTCCAAGCTTATCTATGTGGAGATAGAGTACAGGAGAGGGGAGAGGAGGGACACCCTGACATCATTCCCCCCTCTTCTCCCTCCCACATCCTGCACAGCAAGCAGGTGACTCCCAGTGGGGCAGCTCTTAAGGCAGGAGCAGCATGACATTGGGTAGAAGGGCAACTGAAGTGCTAGCGCTTGATAACTTCCTGGCCAAATCAGTCAGGATCATCTGTCAGAGGCTCTTAAGATCTACCGGTAGATCCCGATATACTGGTTGGTGACCACTGCCCTAGGAGATTGGTCTGAGGCTGTAGGGGAATTTGATGTAACACATGGAGATGTGGAGTAATTCTTGGACAGTGGAAAACCGCATACACATCAGCCTTTTGCCTGCTGTTTTGTTGTATATCACTTGAATTGCTACATAACAGGGATGTTAAATATCGATTAATTTAATAATCGTGTAACCACTACA